CCAATCATTTTTCCTTTTTTACCTGTAAATCGTCTTGCTCATCAATTTACTATTCCATATAAAAATTACATTGTTGATAATTGTTCACAAGAAAAATGTTTTAATGGACGATGTGTTAAATATTTTGATAATCATGATAATATAACATTTTGTCAATGTAATCAAGGATGGTCTGGACAATATTGTGCAATTCGATATCATTGTATGTGTGCTTCTGATTCATTATGTTTTGGAACTTTATCTAATAATCGATCGATTTGTATATGTCCAATTAATAAATTTGGTTCTCAATGTATGTTAAATAATTTAATATGTCAATTAAATGGAAATGTAACATGTCTTAATGGTGGTCAATGTATACCATTTGATGAAAATTTTATCTCGCAGAATAATTTCAGATGTATTTGTCCAAAAGGTTTTAGTGGAGATCGATGTGAAATAATTGATAATAAAATAATATTATCATTTGATAACGATATAATATTATCCCAAATAATGTTAATTCATATTATTGAAATAATGAATAATAGTTCACCAAAACGATCAACAACATTTAAAACATTTCCTACAGATAAACAATCACTTATTATTCATTGGTCTCATTCATTTCATATTGTTTTAATTGAATTTTTAAATAAAATATATTATTTAACTGTTTATCAAAAGAACTATAATCAATCAATAATAATTGTTAAAAAAATTCAATCATCAGATCGTTGTCAACATATAAATGAAATATTTAATAATACAATTGTTAAATTACATCTATTAAGACGTATTAAATATTATCATTTAGCATGTGAAAAAAATAATTCTGAATTATCTTGTTTTTATGATGATATTCATATTTGTTTATGTGATAATTATCGTCAAGAACGTCAAGCAAATTGTTTTGAATTTGATCATCAAATGAAATTTGATTGTTTTGATGAAAATCGTTGTGAAAATGGTGCTCAATGTTATCAAAATAGTCCAACTTGTCCACAAACATCAATATGTGTTTGTCCAACATGTTTCTATGGTAGACAATGTCAATTTAGTACAAGTCGTTTTGGTTTTTCTCTCGATCCGATATTAGGTTATAAAATTGAACCACATATTTCTATAAAATATCAACCAATTATTGTACAAGTTACATTTATATTAACAATACTAATGACTATTCTAGGATTTATTAGTGGTATTTTATCAATTGTTACATTCAAAAATAGAAAATTACATGAAGTTGGTTGTGGAATTTATTTATTAAGTTCATCAATATCATCTTTATTAACAATGATAATGTTTGCTTTAAAATTTTCAATTTTACTTGGAGCACAAATGGAAGGCATTGTTAATCGATCATTTCTTCATTTTCAATGTATTACAATTGATTTTTTTCTACATATTAGTCTTAATATGGATCATTGGTTAAATGCATGTGTAGCTGCAGAACGTGCTATTACTTCAATTAGAGGAACGAAATTTAATAGAAGAAAAAGTAAAAAAATAGCTAAATACGTTATAATTAGTCTTCTTATATTAATAATAAGTACAACTATTCATGATCCTTTACATCGACGTTTAATTGATGATGTTGATGAAAATGGTGAAAATAAACGAATATGGTGTATTGTTAGTTATTCATCAAGTCTTGAAGCGTTTAATTCTACAATTAATGTATTTAATTTTTTTGCTCCATTCTTTATTAATTTAATCTCAGCTATTATTATTATTAAATCAAAAGCTCGACAAAAAGCAATTATTCAACCTGAACATACACATCGACAACATTTGAATATTCAATTTCAAAAATATATTCATTTATTAATTGCTCCTATTTTATTAGTTATTCTTGATCTTCCTCGTTTAATTATTTCTTTTGCATCGGGTTGTATGAAATCAGTTCATAACTCTTGGTTATTTGTTACTGGATATTTTCTATCATTTATTCCATCAATGTTAACATTTATTTTATTTATACTTCCAAATAAAACTTATAAAGCAGAATTTGGAAAGACTCTTCAATATTTTAAACGGAAAATACAAATACATATTCAACCCATTTCATAAAAGGTATTTTTGAAAAACAATATTTGTTTTTGTACTTCTATTAGAATTTGTTGTTCGTTGAATTATGAATAATATCACATATTTATCTTTGACAATGTTATAGTAGATTACTCATATATACAATAAAAATCAATGAATGAAATTTTAAGTTAACTAGACCACCGAGAAAATTTTTACTTATTAAAGATCTCAACGTTTTCTTTTTGATTTGAAATTTATCTTAGAATTTTATCTCGCTATCAGAATCATTTTCAATTCAACAATAATACACATTCTATCGTTTAACACCGCAGTAGATCATTTGAATATATTAAACATCTGAAATGAATTTCTTGTATAATATTTATCATTTGATGATTCTAGAATAGTGAATACCATTCAGCTAATCACAAACTTAGAAATAATAAGTTATTGTATAAACGAAAAATTACTGGTGAAACCTAAAAATGATGATTCTATTCAAGAGATTATTCCATATTTTATTGCAAAATAACCAATTATATCATATTTGATTATCAATGATCAATCTACAATATTCTATAAACTAAATTTCATTTTTTGTTGTCTATTTAGATCATCCAATCATCGACAGCATAAGTTATATACTGTTTGCTATATTTTTGCTTTAATCTTCTGTTCGATTAATAATTTTCATTTTAAGCATTCTTGTTCTTCAAACCGTCATATATATTCTACTAAAATATATTTTATCTACCATAAGAATTCTTAATACTTTATTTATATTATAAAAAACGTTTTCTATAAAATACAAAAGCTGCTTTATACAATCTTTGTCGAACTTAGATGTGAAAAGACGATGTAGCTGCTGTTGTTGATTACAGAGAGATTGTCTCAATCATTCTATTGTGGAACACCCTTCTTCAACATCTTTGTATTTAAGCCTTCAGAAATGCAATAGGAAAGTAGTTCGAATATTAGAACAACATGTTATTCAAATACCGAGTGTGACAAAATTTGTTTCACATTTTTTGTTTTACATGTATCTCTACTCAGGAGCATGAAAAAATGTTGATTTTTTTTCAAAAGATGTGCCGTCAAATTCTCTACAAACTTCCATTTACCTTAATTAATAATACCAGAAATGAACATTTTTATAGGACACATAGTATATTTATCTGAATTGAGCCTACTGTCCACATATTTTTTATTAATTTATTGTTTCCCTGAAAGTGAATATCTGGCTCTTAGACTATGGTTTCCTGCTAGACAGCTCTTCTAATCCTCTGTTTATTATTCATTGGTGCGAAGCTTTTAAAAGCACTTTCTATCGGTTAGTCGCATGGTCATGTTTGGAAAAATACAGCAATTTTTATGTTTAGCTACGCCTTTTCAAAGAAAACATTCTAGAAATTCCACTCGTCATCAAACCATCTCTAAGTTTGCAGCATTTTGTAAAAACTCGATTGATTTTTCTATAAGGAGCTCTAATGTCCATTTCAGAGTTAAATGGCCGTGGGCATTTTTTGAATAACTATTGATAGGAACGAGATAGAGACCTGCGGTTTTCACCGTTGGAAAGAGCAGATGAAAATGCATCGAACCATATATGCAAAGATTTTTCTAACGGCTTTCCTGAAGGTTTTACGTAAAACTTCAAGAAAAGCAGCATGCCTCTCATGATTGCGATATTAATTTATTGACTTTCAGGAGTGTGCTAGAACCGCGAAATGAAGAGCTGCAAAAAACTACGGAAAGGCTCTATTCCTAACTACTACCAATACGATACTCTAGCCATTGGAGTGCAATTTACCACCCAGTTTTCCCACAAAATAGTCGAAAAATGGAGGTTTTTTGTGATATTTCGATAGAAAAATCACTTTTTTAACGTAGGAGAAAAACGCAATTCTTTGAAAACGTTTGACTAAAACCTTCAGAAAAGTCGTTAGAAAAATCTTTGTATATATAGTTCGATGCATTTTCATCTGCTCTTTCCAACGGTGAAAATCGCAGATCTCTATCTCGTTCCTATCAATAGTTATTCAAAAAATGCCCACGGCCATTTAACTCTGAAATGGACATTAGTAACGCGTGAGAAACGAATTTCGCTGGAAGAAGAATCCAAATAGTGCCAACAAAGCCGTTTTAGTCGTAGACAATCAGACACGCTACAGTTTTTTGACAACTATACATTGTAATCAAACATTCACAAATAATTCTAAAAAAGCACTCGATATATATTCTCTTTACAAAGAGAAGGTCTCTTTCGCGCTTGTATATAACTTCGAAAGATTTTTGTAACAATATAAAATAAGGTGCGCGAAGTATGTTCAATTTAGATAATTATACTATGAGACCTATAAAAATGTTCACATCTATTGTTCTTAATTAAGGTAAATGAAAGTTTGTAGATAATTCAACGGCGTTTCTTTCGAAAAAAAATCAATATTTTTTCATACTCCTGAACAGAGATACATGTAAAACAACAAATGTGGCAAAACTTTTGTCATACCTGGTACAGGCTTGGATCATATATCAACAATGTCTGTCACGAGCTGGAGGGGAACAGAGTGCTGGAGGTGCAAGCGCCACTTATGTTCTATTTCAATATTCTTTATATACATTTTTACTTAGCACTTAAATACGTGTCTTATGAAAATATTCCAATAAATAAATGGATGAAATCAATATAATTATGTTAAAGAAAAAGGATTTCTTTCGAGATAATATCGAACCTATAGAAAAACATTTATCAAAAATGAATATCTAATAAGTCATCAGGGTTTTTCAATAACATTGATTCAAAATTATTAGATTTAATAATATAAGCATCATTAAAGAAACTTAAAATAGAAAGTTCATGAAGTTCTAAACAAAGATGACATTTGCAAATAAAATAATCTTTTATTGAATACAACCAAAAAAAACTATAACAAATAATGGTTTGAGACTAAGTTTACATGAAGATGAAGCAAGGTAGTTGTTTCTAATTAGTTTTCATATTGCTTTAATGATGCTTGTTTTAATAAATTAACCATTGTTGTTGCTAGATCACAATAGATAAATTTTGTCGAAAATTTATATTCATCTAACTGATCAATGAAATCTTGTTGTTCTTCAATTGTACAAATATCTACATGATTCAATAAGTATCTGTTATGAATCATGTCGTGTAAACGTAGAATATCAATGTTATATTTATCTAATTCCTTTTGTAATGGTGCAACAAAATCTTTTAATACAATTGAATTTATTTCGGCATTTTTAATTCGTCGCTTCATAATTGTCAACTGTTCATTAAATAATCTCCAACTACTAAAATCAGTTTTATAATCATTGAGTTCTTCTAATAATGGTGTAACATAATAAGATATAAATAATTGACTAAGATCATAAGCAAAATTGAAACATTCTGATAAATCTAAGCGATCTTTCAATGTTTCATTGTCATTTTGCAGTTGAACAACATTTTTTTAAGCTTGTCGATTTCGTTCTGATATTGGCCTAGTTTTGTTTCTATTTGTTTAAATTTTATACCAATTTTTTCACAAATACTAACAATAGCAGTATAATTTTTATTAGAAACTTTGTCTTCTGTTATCACTTGAATTAAGTTGCCGATCAAGTTTTGGATACTTTTGTCATCATTAGCATCCGTTTCGACTAATCGTTTATAACATTGATTGATCGCTAAGTTTAATCGTTCATTTTGTTCAATGTTGTACATAACAATTAATGGTTGTAAAGCATCAAAAAATTTATGTAAGTCGCAATTGATTAATTGAGACATGTTTAGAAGCCAGGAAATCGATGTTAAAGAGTAAAGTATAACAATATTTCAAATACACATAAGAAAGTATTCATCGATATTCGAGTGTTCTTTATCTATCAGTACAATACAAAGGCAATAAAATGAGCAAAACATTTCCCTCCCACTAACAACAGATGTCACTAGATTTCGAGGAAGAATCAATATATAGATAATGCCACACTAGAAGTGTCACTTAATCCTTACTTTATCAAGTAAAGCAAAGTAAAGTGAACAATATTTGTTTTGCTGTACAAATAAAGTGAAGTAAAATAGGATAAAATTTGGCATGTAGCTATTTATGATCGATTCATTACTCAATCGACATGGACGATTTGCATTCCAATATGCCAAAAGATGTGTCAAATTACAAACCAGTGCTACAAAAACTCTGAGCCTAAACTTGTTAGCCTGAGAGTGACCATTGGTCTCTGATTATTTTTCATAGCTTTGTTTTTTATTTTATCACAACTCAATGTATCACACCTGTGATCTCCCTCAGGTATCGAAAATTTTTTTCGTAGTTCTCTAACAAGTCTTTATAGTTCTATAGCGCCAAGTACTAGAATTACAAATATCACAGTTTTTTCAAAACTATTTACATAATAAGGAAATTTGAAGCACTCTGAAAGCCTTAAAATCTGTTTTTTGACCTACAAGTCCATTAAAATCCTGTTAGTTGCGTCAAAAATAGATTCGTTTGATGCAGAATCTCTTTCTTTATTAAAATATATAAGAAAATGTTAGATATTCAATTTTATTATGTTGATAACCGCCAAATACTTCCTGAATAGGGTCATATTGTCCCGCATAAGATTTTTGCACCCTTATGAAATTATAGTGTTTGCGAATTTATCCCAAGATTTTTAAAAACCTTGTAATTCAATGTGCTCTTCATAATGACACGATTTTTTACTTTAAAATGTATGTTTACCGAAATACTGTTGCTCTTCGCTATACTTGAGAGTCAGTTTGGATCCATGTCGATCAATGGGCGATTGTTTTCGACCTGAGAAAACTCGTTTGACTTCGAAAGAGCATCAGCTTTCAAACAAGCACTAAAAATGGAGTCGATGTGCATGAGTTTCAAATTGCTGCTGCATCTTTTTTTCGGTCAAATTTTGATCTCTCTCAAGTAGACAGGCAAATGATCGAATCGGCGTTTAACTATCTCAATAAGTAAAGTTTTTAGACTATTTGATTAATCGTCAAAAGGACGTTACAACAGTTCAAGATTAACAATATTTTTACGGTTCACTCTCAAAAGACATACATTTTTGTATGAAGAAAATTGATAGCGAGAGAGGTCACAGGTATGCTTAAAAGTGTGATTATAATATATATTTAATTATTTATTGATATTCCTTGTCCTTAATTGTATGGCTACTTCATTTCAAAGATTACTTAAACATTGCCAGCACTACTTAATAGATACTCACCACTACCTAATATCAATGCATAACTATTTAATAATTTTGAAAACAAAATTCGTCAACAAATAACTTTTTCATCTTTTATAATACTGAAGAAACCAGTGTATCCGTTTTGTCACTAATCAACTACACCTGTATTCTAACTGATTTATTTTGAGCAAGAGCTAAAAAAAGAAAAATTCGTCAACTTATAGGCTTTTATTTTCTAATGATACTGGAAAGATAGGCGTGATTTTTTTAGTAAACCCACACCCTGCTCACTCATTCTAATTGTTTTATTTCGAGTAAGAATTATTTCAAGCGTCGGATAAATCTTTTACCGGTTTGTAATAAGTTATCAAGTCGGTTGAGATGTATGTACGAAAGTTTTAAAATAGAGATGATGATCTTTATATAGCTGTAGATTTTCAATGGCTGTTTACAAAAAGAAGTTCAGTGAGAAATTTTCTTAAAATTGAATTAGATATTTACATTATAACATATTTGTATACATTATCTTCCAAATGTCTACTAAAGTCTTTTAAATAGATATAATAATATGTAAATCGCGATTGATGTAAATAGCTAGTCAAATGAACTTGTGCTATAAACGAAAAGTTGTTACAAAACAAGCATCTACTTAATGATTAAGTAGCTTTTTTTTTTTTTTTTTTTAATTATGCCTTATTTATTTTCCCCACGACCCTGTCGGTCCTAAAGGGAAATGATTAAGTAGCTGTATACAGTCATTAGGGGTTTTCCCTCTCTTACTATAGGATTACACATATACACTTATGTTCTTCTTTTTTTCTTTAATTGTTAGCCATGCATAATGGATTTTTTCTTTCTTTTCTTTATATTCTTTTTTCTTTCGTTTTGTTCTATGGATATTTTCTTCTCTTGTTCATTATTTATAAGATTTTCCATTAGGAATTTCCTAACGCTTGTTATCACTCTATAGATAGTGTTACATTGTTCATATGAGCCATTGCATGTAAGGCACGACCAAAAGCACTGGACACCAGAGACCGTCACAGGGCAGGGCTGCCCCGATGCCCTATCCTGCCCTGAGTCAGGGCAGGGCAAACTTTTAATTTTAGCCCTGCCCTGTAGGGCAGGACAGGGCAAAACTTTTTGCCCTGTGTTTAAAAAATATTAAAAGAACATGATTTTATTAGAATTTTTCTCATTCAAAAAGAATTCATTGAGTATTATTTTAACTGAATTTTAATCAAATTATGTAATGTTCAAGCCGTTTTGATAGAATGAAATTAATATTAAAAAAATGATTTTTAAGCAATTAGACGTTATAACTATAATAGATTAACACTGATTGATTTTCCAGTCAAATTTATTTTTTCAGTGTTTATCTAAAGAAGTCTTCGTATGAAAAAGGTTTTCAGGCTAAAAAAACTTAAGTTTATGCGCATGAAAAAATAAATTTAACTACAGAAATCTAATGATAAGTTGCCTTTCAATCTGAAACTTAGGCTTTATTTGATTCAATTGGAAATTACTGTAGTCGACTTTAGACTAACTTCCGTGAAGAATAAAACATCGTCCTATATAAGAGGATCTCTCATAATAACATTTCAAAGGTATAATGAAAGGTAATGGATCTCACAAAACTCTTTTTTTGGGGAATTCTGTGGACTTTTTTAGACCAACACATAAAAAGCTAGCCTTTTAGTAAAAGACTATTTTTTATAATGAAAATGGATTTACACCTATTAAGCTCGTATTTTTAGAATAAAAGTGGGCATTCTGCAAAACTTATTGCTAATTATGTCAGCCCACAACAAAAGACTAAAATTCATATTGAAATCGATTGTTTTGCATTAAAAATAGATATAAATGATATGTGTCGAAGTTAACTTAGTTTTACACGGACCATTTTTAGTAGTCAAGAGTAAGAAAAAATCGAAAGTCTCAACTTTCACTTTNTAAATTATTTCTGACTATTTGAAGTTAAGAAAAAACAGTGATACTAAGAGGATATCAAGCCAATTGACTAATGTTCAATAAGCTGAACGGATTCGAATATATGAAGAAAATGTTGAGAAATTTGAACAAGAAGCATGGCGACTACGTAATGCAGTGACAAGTGACGAATCGTGATGTTTTTCATAAACAACTTAATCGAATGATATCAAATGCTGTCTAGACACAGCAAGCGAAGAGACTCCCTTAGTTTTTATTCACAGCAGTCACATCACTCCAAAAACCTTATTTTATTTATTTTTAACATTCTCTTCGAAGGCATTAAGGTCTCCCTTTTGTGACGGGACAAGTTTCACTTATGTTCTGTTTTGATGTTCGTTATATATATGCACTTGCTTCGTTCTGTAGCCTTCCTCTTTTTCTTCTTGTCCGCGCTTATACTTTTATGTTGATATGTTTTCGTTTTTCATTAGTAACATTCACTTCTCTTTATATATTTCACTCTTCACTGAGATATATATTTATTCATTTTCACTCTTATTTTTCTTCTCATATTCTCTGCTCTCTATTGCTTGTCATCTTTTCTTTTCGTCTCTTTCTGCTTATTAAATATATCGTTGGATCTTCATCCATATTCGATTCTGATTTTCATTTTTGTCATTTGTCATCATTATCATTGTGGCGTTTGGCATCTTCTAAGTTGCATCACCACACAGCGTTCGCACACGACGTAACAGGAGAAATCAATTCTAATTATTACTCCTATAATTCAGCAAGTCTTTTAGATCGTATTTCATGACATTTAGCAGAAATGTTCAATGTAAACTCAACTTTGACTCAAAACTGTTACAGAAAAGCTTGAAGCTTTTCTTGTTGGAATGCGTCAATCTATAGATTTTTTTATGTAAACGATTTAAAATCTAACTTCATAAAAATTTTATCAGTGAAAATAATTATCAAATGTTGTTAAATGGTTTCCTCCTCAATACACATTCTTAATTGATTATAGCAGATAATAATCAAACCGCATAAAAATTTCAGCACAACTAATAAGAAATGAACCAATCTAATTCTATTTATATAGATAGATTTATATTAAATTTTTTAATCATATATTTCACCACACATATTGATTTAAGTGCGTTCCTTTCTGCACACGAAAAAAAAAGAGAAACAAATAGTCAATGGAAATGAATATATTATTGCGTAAAAAACAACAGAAAATAGTATTTTTTAATTCTTTCATCATATGAACTATATGAAATACAATACACAACCTATTTTTATGTTTTACTGCAATGATGGAGACTAATATACATAAAGTTTTAAATTTCTGTATTATTTTTATTAATAATTGAATTATTAACTGAATTGACAAGAATTGAAAACAAATAAATATATCATTTAGTAAGACGACTATTCTAATCCACATACTTTCGATAGATGAAATCTTCTATACTTACCTCTTTCTTCTTTTTCATACTTTTCATCATCATGATTACTTTTGTTCTCGTGACAACAATGGTAAGTAGATCAATAGTGAAGGCAATTTATTTCTATTATTTATATATCTGTTACTAAACTTCAAATATTTAAACTTTTCTAACAAATATTGATCAAAACTACAAA